GATAACTACAAACCTAGCCAGCAAAGAACTAACCAAAACAGTCCCAAACAAAACCATAATAAAACTTTTGTCAATAGCACCTCTACAAAAAATAATAATCACCAAATCCCGAACCCCTCTCCCCCTACTGTATTCCAATCCTTAGCTACTAGACTTAAAGCCAACCAAATAAAAAATGTTATTCCCATGGACATAACCTCCCCTATCATTACAACTAGACAAGGATACCCCTCTATAACATTTCACGAAGAGGACTTCATGCAGAAAATGCCTGGAAGATGTAAGTATACTCTGGTAGGTAAATTCACTAATGTCATGCCCAAAATGGAGGTCATTAGAAAAAGCTTCATTGCTCAAACTCAGCTCACTGGTGGGGTTATGATTGCCCATTTTAACTTAAGGCACATTTTTATTGACTTGGATAATGAAGCTGATCACATTTCAGTTTGGAAAAAGCAAAGGATGTTCATTGCAGGCCACTCCATGAAGCTACAGGTGTGGACTCCTACTTTTAAACCTGTTGAGGAAACCCCTATAGTGCCATCTGGATCACTCTACCCGAACTCCCCTGGCACTGCTATTATATGGATATCCTTACTCCATTGTTGTCCCCTATTGGTAAGGCTTTATACCTGGATTCTGCAACCATGCAAAAAACTAGGAAAAGTGTTGCAAAAGTAAGAGTCCAAATAGATATCACCAAAGAAAGACCTCAACATGTGTGGCTGGGATTCTCTAAAAAAGACCTTTCCCTAGGTAAGTGGCAAATTATAGAATTTGAAGATGTGCCTCCATACTGTCTATACTGTAAGCACCAGGGCCATGTACTTGGAGAATGTCCAGTGAAGGAAAGGGATGAAGAAATAAAAACAAGGAAGGAAATGGAAGCCAACAAGAAAGGACAAGAGAAACAATTAAATCAGACTTCAAAAGGCAATCAACAGCATGAGGAAGGTAAAGAAAAAGTCCAATCAAACAGGCAAACAAATGCAAGAGGGCCAACTGAAGTTGCTACTACACACAAGGAAGAACAATGGCAAATACAAACTAGGAAGAAGAACAAAAACCACCAACAAAATCAGGACCAAGGTAAGAACCAAACTTCTCAAGTACAGGTACAGCAGGCCAAAAAATCCCATATTCAATAAGCAAGCCAGGAAACAGGTATGAATTCTAAAGCTCACGTGATTGAGATTGAGGAATCTGGTGATCAGATTCCAAGACCCCCATTCCCTGTTATTGTTGATGTTGATGAACATTGTGTTGACAATGAGGTCCCATCCCATGTAACCCCCTTGTTTGTGACTGCTCAAGTTGTTGGAGGGAGGATGGAAGTAAAGGAGAAAACTACTAACTTGCAGGAAGGGGAACCTAAGGGGAGGGAATTGTCTCATGTTTTGCATGAGAACCAAATGACTGACCTTAGGAATGACCTCCAAGCCCCTGCTACCACTACAAATGCTGCCCAACAACATCAAACACAGGTACACCAAAGCACAAAGGAGGGCTGTCAACAAGTTCACACCATTAGAGAGAGGGATAATCAGCTCAAAGGATCTATGGCAAAGGATATGGGAAACAAATCAAGCTCTAGTAAACAGGTGGAGACCCCTAAGAGTAAGAACAAGCCTAGCAAGAAGAAGAGAGAAGCTATCAAGAAGAAACAGGCTGAACAAAATCATCAAGAACAGTCCCAAAATGACAATCATCCAGAGGGAGTAAATCCATGTAAAAAATTCATTATGGTGGAGCAAGTAATGGATGTGATCCCTCTTAAAGCTCAGTACAGCACCCCTACTCCTGGAAAACCTCCTGATCAGGTCAAGGTGACTGTTAGAGATGAGTATGATGTAGAAAACTCAGAAGATGAAATAGATTAAGATAATCTACCTGAAAATGCACCAAATGAAGATGATGAGACTAGTGAACTTCTGATCAAAGCTTTTAGCCCCAACAATGACATAGAGCTTGACAAGGAGCTGCAACAAGTTACCAACAAATAGGGACTTTCTCCCAGAGGCATGCATCTGGAAAGACTTCCTCTAAAAAAACCATCCTCTCACATTCCTGTAACTGCAGGAAGGCCAAACACTAGACTTTTTACCTCTAAATCATCCCAATAATTAGTACAATTATATGGAATACTAGAGGAATCAATACCCAAGGTGTTATAGAAAGACTCAAAAATCTCAAAAACATTCATCATGTGTCTATGATTGCCATTTTGGAACCCTTATCATATAATGCCCACATAAACATGTTTAAAAGTATGCTTGCCATGGATCATGCTATTAGCAACATCAATGGAAAAATTTGATTGTTTTGGATCAATGATATTACTTGTGAAATCAACCACACAGAAGCTTCTGGTGTCTTCATCAAGACTTTTGTGTATGCCAAATGCAAAGATTATCTCAGAAAACCCTTTGGGACAGGTTACTTCATTTTGCAGATACGAGAGATACCACTCCATGGTGCACTATTGGTGATTTTAATGTTATTATGGATACAGAGGAAAAACTGGGAGGCATTGCTTATAACACGAGGAAGAGCTTAGAATTCATTGGAGTTATTGAAGCTTGTGGACTCATGGACTTGGGGTTTAATGGACCTAGATTCACTTGGTCTAACCAAAGGGGTATCAATTTCAGAATCTGGAAGAGGTTGGATAGGGCTATGGTTAATGATAGATGGTTGCAAGACATGCCTCATACTAGCATTACACATCTACCCTCTGTGGGGTCTAATCACTGTCCTCTTCTTATGGAAATGAATGACAGACGTGATAATTATATTAAATACTTCAGATTTCTTAATTGTTGGGCTGATCAACCTTCCTTTGTCGAGACTGTTACAAATTGCTGGAACAGGCCTACTGAAGGAAATCCCATGTGGACCTTTCACCGGAAAATGAAGAGACTTACCTCTACCCTAAGTGCTTGGTCCAAAATGCAGTTGGGGGATATTCATGCAAGGGTCAAAGACTTTGAGGAAAGAGTCCGGGTGGCTGAAGAAAACCTCATTCATAACAATACAGAGGAGCATAGAGCAGAACTTCATGGTATTAATGCAAAATATATCAGATTCATGAAGCTGGAAGACTCTATTCTTAAACAAAAAACTCAGCTGCAATGGTTCAAAGAAGGGATGGTAATTCAAAATATTTTCATGCATTGATTAGGGGAAGAAGGAGGAGACTATTTATTCACAAAATCCTCAATGACAATGATGAGTGGGTACAGGGTGATGAACACATTGCACAAGCTGCCAGTGACCATTTTCAGAACATCTTCACAGGAGAGGAAAAACTTATTGATGTAATCCTCATGAACTGCATTCCAAGAATGGTTAATCAGGAACGCAATGACAGGATGAAGGAACTCCCTACTATGGATGAGCTTAAGGAGGTGGTCTACTCCATGAATCCTAACTCAGCTGCAGGACCTAATGGGATGAATGGTTGCTTCTTCCAGAAGTGCTGGAATATTATCAAAAAAGATCTGCTGGCTGTTATTCATGAATTTTCCAGTGGCAAAATGCTTCCCAAATATTTCTCACATGCTTGTCTGGTCCTCCTTCCCAAAGTGAAACATCCTAATAAACTTTCGGAGTTCAGACCCATCAGCCTGAGTAATTTTACTAACAAGATTATTTCCAAGCTTTTATGTCTCAAATTGGCCCCTATTCTACCTAACTTGATTTCCCCTAATAAATCAGGATTTGTTAAAGGTAGGAGCATATCTGAGAACATTATGCTAGCTCAAGAAATTATCCACCAGATAAAAAAACCTACCATTGGAAGCAATGTCATGATCAAACTTGATATGGCAAAGGCCTATGACAGGGTCTCTTGGTCATATATTTGTCTGATTCTCAGAAAAATGGGATTTGATGAAGTCTTCATAGATATGGTCTGGAGAATTATGGCAAATAATTGGTACTCTATCATTATTAATGGTAAGAGGCATGGTTTCTTTCACTCCACTAGAGGCCTCAAGCAGGGTGACCCTCTATCCCCAGCCCTATTTATTTTAGGTGTTGAGGTACTATCAAGATCCTTGAACAGGCTTCACCAAAACCCCCTATATCATGGTTTCTATATGGAAAAAAGGGGCCCTCAGATTAATTATCTTAGCTTTGCAGATGACATCATTATATTCACATCAGGGAGGAAGCATTCTCTCAAGCTCATCATGCATACCTTGGCACATATGAAAGGATTTCTGGCCAGCTTATCAACAAAGCAAAAAGTCACTTCTTGCTCCACTCCAATGCTTTCAGAACTACCTGTGCCAGCATAAAAAAAATACACTGGTTTTCATCAGAAAGATGCTCCTCTCTCTTATCTCGGATGCCCTCTATTGATTGGAAGGCCTAAGATTGTCTATTTTTCAGAGCTCTTCAACAAGGTAGTGAACAAAATTACGGGTTGGCAATCCAAGATGTTGAGTTATGGAGGTAAAGTAACTTTAATCAAGCATGTTCTACAATCCCTCCCTATCCATATCTTGTCAGCTACTTCCCCACCCTCAACTACTATTAAGCAAATCCAAGGTATCATGGCTGATTTTTTCTGGGGATGGAGGAATGACAAGAAAAAAATACCATTGGTCCTCTTGGAAAAACTTAAGTTTTCTCTATGATGAAGGGGGAATTGGAGTTAGACTCATGAGTGATGTATGTCAAGCTTTCCAGTTCAAACAATGGTGGACATTTAGATCTAAGCAAACATTATGGGGTGATTTTCTTAAGTCAAAGTATTGCCAAAGATCCAACCCTATAAGTAAAAAATGGGATACAGGAAATCCCAAGCTTGGAGATTGATGATGAAGAACAAACATACTGTGGAGAATCATATTCAATGGAGAATCAAAAATGGTTCATGTTCTTTTTGGTGGGATAATTGGTTGGGTATAGGCCTCTTGGCTCACCACACCACTGATAGCAACAGGTTTAACAATGACACTATCTTTGACTTTATAGATGATGGATAGTGGAACATGACCAAGGTGATCCAGTTAGCTCCCCAAAATCAGGTGCACAACATTTTATCTACTCAGATCCAGTTACAGCAAGGCCAATCTGATCAGGCAGTGTGGAATCTCAACACTAATGGCAATTTTTCTGTTTCTTTTGCATGGAATAACATCAGAGAAAAAAGGGAGAAAACCAAGATCAACACCTACACCTGGAAGAGAAATATACCTTTCAAATGTTCCTTCTTGCTCTGGAGAGCAATTAGAGGCAAGCTTCCTACCAACGAAAAACTTTCCAGCTTTGGAATTGAACCGGGCGACTGCTACTGCTATCACTCTCCAGGAAATGATACAATTGAGCATATTTTCAATTCTGAAAGCTTTGCTAAGAGTGTTTGGAAATTTTTTGTTGTTTCTTTAGGCATTCAAACTGATTACTTGCCTCTTAGAAATATGATCATGAGGTGGTGGAGTACTACTCATAACAATGAATCACACAAGCTTATCCTACAATCTACACCAATCTTTATTTGTTGGAATTTGTGGTAGAATAGGTGTGCTAAAAAGTACGGAGGCAAGCAGTCCAACATTGCAAGGGTAAAACATCTCGTGATTCTGGACAATTTCAAATTGCTGCATACAATTTTCCCATATATCTCTTGGCCTTTGGGATGGAACAAGCTTAGTACACTTATTGAGAAATGCAACCATGATATCAAGGTGACTACTGTACAGTGGATTAAACCTCCAGACAGGTGGGTTAAACTTAATACTGACGGGAGTGCATTGAGTAATCCGGGCAGCATAGGTGCAGGGGTGTTCTCAGGAACCATATTGGAGAAACTATCTTTGCTTTTTCGGCTCCATTGGGGGAAGGAACCAACAACCAAGTTGAGGTGGAGGCTGCTATATTTGGCCTAACATGGTGCGTAAATTTGAAATATAACAATGTGATCCTTGAAGTTGATTCCCAGCTACTTGTGGACTGGCTAGTGAGCAGCACAGCAGTGCCATGGACCATCTCACACCAAATGCAGAAGCTCCACCAACTTGTCAAACAATTCACTCACTTCAAATGCATTCATACTCTTAGGGAGGCCAATTTTGTGGCAAACTTACTCTCTAAACACATCCATCAGATTACCAGCCCTCAGGTATATTTCAACAGCCAGCAACTTCCCAAACTTGCAGCAGCCTATCTCCAACACGATCTGGCAGATATGGCAAGCTTCAGAAGAGGAAAGTTAAAGAGAATCAAGGAACCACCTTGATTTATTCGCAGCATAGAGGATCTGTGAAGGAGCCAGAACTCCTTCAGGCCCTCTTTTTTTGGATGATCTTTAAGTCATCTCTTATAGACTCCCCCTTGTTTAGGATAGATTTTGTTTAGTCTTTCCTTTTAACTTGTAAAGGGAGAGTCTCCCTTATTTATGTTTTCCTAGACTCTGTGTATCGAGAGGAGTCCTCTCACATAGGTGCATAGCTGATAGGTTCCTCTTTTTTTTTAGTTTGGAGAAAAGTTGGAGAACCTACTAGGGTCGCATAGTAGGCTACCAACTTTTACACCACCATTAAGTGGAGGTAAGGTTTATGCCCCCCTCAGTGTAACTCTTGTTTTTTATCTATGATAAGGCATGGGGGTGTTGCTAAGCCCCTGACCCCTTCAAGGGTCGTTCAAATTCAAAATAAAAAAACCATACACACTAAACCCTAACCCTAAATTCTAAATCCTAAACCCTTAATCATAAAACTTAAACCCTACACCCCAAATTTTTTAAGGTGTTTTTCTGTCTTTTTTGTTGAATTTTATCTTTTTCGGACGTTTACGAATTAAATTGTTTTATAATTTTTCAAGCAGCCACGAAAAAATGCTAAATTTTAATATTTTAGTTGTATTGATATTCTAAGGTGAATGGCGCGATTCGGGAATTTTTTGAGATATTTTTATGTCTTTTTCTTGATTTTTTTATATTTTTCAGACGTTTACAATTTAAAATTTTTGATATTTTTTGGGCAGTCACGAAAAAATGAAACTTTTTTATATTTTATTCGTATCGATATTCTAAGCTGACATGCGATTCGGGAATTTTTTGAGGTGTTTTGATATCTTTTTCTTGATTTTTATATTTAACGGATGTTTACGAATTAAAATTTTTGATATTTTTCAGGCAGTCACGAAAAAAGATTAAATTTTGATATCTTGTTTTTATCGATATTCTAAGGTGACTGGTGTGATTCAAGAATTTTTTGAGGTGTTTTTATGTCTTTTTCTTGATTTTTCTATTTTCGAACGTTTACGAATTAGGATTTTTGATATTTTTTGGGTAGTCACAAAAAAATGTAAAATATTGATATTTTATTCATATCGATATTCTAAGGTCACTGGTGTGATTCGGAAATTTTTTTAGGTGTTTTTATGTCTTTTTCTTGATTTTTATATTTTTTGTACGTTTTCGAATTAAAATTTTAGATATTTTTCGGGCAGTCACGAAAAAAATGTAAAATGTTGATATTTTTTTCATATCGATATTCTAAGGTGACTAGTGCGATTTGGGAATTTTTTGAGGTGTTTTTATGTATTTTTCTTAATTTTTATATTTATTGGACGTTTACAAATTAAATTTTTTGATAATTTTTGGGCAGTCACGAAAAAATATAAATTTTTGATATTCTATTCGTATCGATATTCTAAGATGACTAGTACGATTCGAGCATTTTTTGAGGTGTTTTTATGTCTTTTTCTTGATTTTTATATTTTTCGGACGTTCACGAATTAAAAATTTTGAGATTATTTGGAGAGTCACAAAAAAATGTAAAATTTTGATATTTTATTCGTATCGATATTCTAAGGTGACTGGTGCGATTCAGGATTTTTTTGAGGTGTTTATATATCTTTTTCTTGATTTTTATATTTTTCGAACGTTAACGAATTAAAAGTTTTGATATTTTTGGGGAGTCACGAAAAATTGTAAACTATTGAAATTTTATTCGTATCGATATTCTAAGATGGCTGGTGCGATTCGAAAAAATTTTAAGGTGTTTTTATGTCTTTTTCTTGATTTTTATATTTTCGGACGTTTAATAATTAAAATTTTTGATATTTTTCGGGAAGTTACAAAGAAATGCAAAATTTAGTTATTTTATTTTTATCGATATTCTAAGGTGACTGGTGCGATTCGGGAATTTTTTGAGGTGTCTTTCTAGATTTTTATATTTTTCGAACGTTTAGGAATTAAATTTTTTGATATTTTTCGGGCAGTCACGAAAAATGTAAAATTTTGATATTTTATTCATATCAATATTCTAAGGTGACTGGTGTGATTCAAAAAAAATTTGAGGTGTTTTTATGTCTTTTTCTTGATATTTATATTTTTTCGAATGTTTACGAATTAAATTTTTTGATATTTTTCGGGTAGTCACGAAAACATGTATAATTTTGACATTTTAATTTTATCGATATTCTAAGGTGACTGGTCCGATTCAGGAATTTTTTGAAATGTTTTTATTTCTTTTTTTCTTGATTTTTATATTTTTCAGACTCTTACGAATTAAATTTTATTATATTTTTCGGGCAGTCCTGAAAAACTATAAAATTTGTATATTTTATTCGTACTGATATACTATGGTGACTGGTGTGATTCGAGAATTTGTTGAGGTGTTTATGTCTTTTTCTTGATTTTTAATTTTTTTGAGGTTATCGACTAATTTTTTTTGATATTTTTCGGGTAGTCACGAAAAAATGTAATATTTTGATATTTATTCGTATCGATATTCTAAGGTGACTAGTGTGATTCGAGAATTTTTTGAGTAGTTTTTATGTCTTTTTCTTGATTTTTATATTTTTCGGACGTTTACGAATTAAAGTTTCTGATATTTTCGGGCAATCACGAAAAAGATTAAAATTTTGATATTCTATTCATATCGATATTCTAAGGTGACTGGTGCAAGTCGGGAATTTTTTGAGGTCTTTTTATATCTTTTTCTTGGTTTTTATATTTTTAGGTCGTTTATGAATTAAAATTTTTGATATTTTTCTAGCGGTCACCAATAAATGTAAAGTCTTGATATTTTATTCGTATCGATATTCTAAGGTGACTAGAGAGATTCGGGAATTTTTTGAGGTGTATTATGTCTTTTTCTTGATTCTTATATTTTTTCAGATGTTTACGAATTATTTATTTTGAGATTTTTAGAGAGTAACGAAAAAATGTAAAATTTTAAGATTTTATTCGTATCGATATTCTAAGGTAACTGGTGCGATTCGGGAATTTTTTTGAGATGTTTTTATGTCTTTTTCTTCATTTCTATATTTTTCGGACATTTACGAATTAAAAGTTTTGATATTTTTTGGGCAGTCACGAAAAAATGTACAATTTTGATATTCTATTCGTATCGATATTCTAAGAGGAGTGGTGCAATTTAGGAATTTTTGGAAATATTTTTATGTCTTTTTCTTGATTTTTATATTTTTCGGATGTTTATGAATTAAATTTTTTAATATTTCTCAGACAGTCTTGTAAACATGTAAAATTTTGATATCTTATTCGTATCGATATTCTGAGGTGACTAGTGCGATTCGAAAATTTTTTGAGGTGTTTTATGTCTTTTTTTTCTAGATTTTTATATTTTTCGGACACTTACGAATTAAATTTTTTTATATTTATCGGGCCGTCACGAAAAAATGAAAAATTTATATATTTTATTCATATCGATATTCTAAAGTGACTGGTGCGATTCGGGAATTTTTTGAGGTGTTTTTCCGTCCTTTTCTAAATTTTTATATTTTTCGGACGTTTACAATTAAAATTTATGATATTTTTCGGGCAGTCGCGAAATAATATAAAATTTTGATATCCTATTCGTATTGATATTCTATGGTGACTGGCGCGATTCGAGATTTTTTTAGGTGTTTTTATGTCTTTTTCTTGATTTTTATATTTTTCGGACGTTTACGAATTTAAAATTTTTTGATAATTTTCAGGCAGTCACAAAAAAATGTTAAATTTTGATATTTTATTCGTATCGATATTCTTAAGTGACTTGCGCGATTAAGGAATTTTTTGAGCTATTTTTATGTCTTTTTCTTGATTTTTATTATTTTCAGACTTCTACGAATTTAATTTTTGGATGTTTTGCGGGATGCCCAGAAAAAGTATAAAATTTGTATATTTCATCCGTATTGATATACTATAGTGATTGGTGCGATTCGCGAATTTTTTGAGGTGTTTGTGTATTTTTCTTGATTTTTATATTTTTCTGATGTTAACGAATAATTTTTTTTAAAATATTTTTCGGGCAGTCACGGAAAAGTGTAATATTTTGATATTTTATACGTATCGATATTCTAAGGTGACTAGTGAGATTCAAGAATTTTTTGAGGAGTTTTTATGTCATTTTTTTATTTTAAATTTTTAGGACGTTTACGAATTAAATTTTTTGAAATTTTTTGAACTGTCACAAAAAAATGTAAAGTTTTGATATTTTATTCGTATTGATATTCTATGGTGACTGGCGCGATTCGTCATTTTTTTAGGTGTTTTTATGTCTTTTTCTTGATATTTATATTTTTCGGACGTTTACGAATTAAAATTTTTGATGTTTTTGGTGCAGTCACGAAAAGATGTAAAATTTTGATATTCTGTTCATATCGATATTCTAAGATTACTGGTGCGATTCGGGAATTTTTTGTGGTGTTTTTATGTATATTTCTTGATTTTTATATTTTTCGGACATTTACGAATTTAAATTTTTGATATTTTTGGTGCAGTTACGAAAAAATGTAAAATTTAGATATTCTATTCGTATCGATATTCTAAGATTACTGGTGCGATTCGGGAATATTTTGTGATGTTTTTATGTCTTTTTTTATTTTTAAAATTTTTGATATTTTTTCGGGGAGTCACGAAAATACGTAAATTTCTATATTTTATTCGTATCGATATTCCAATGTGACTGGTGCGATTTGAGAATTTTTTGAGGTGTTTTCATGTCTTTTTCTTCATTTTTATATTTTTCGGACATTTACGAATTAGGATTTATAATATTTTTCGTGCAGTCACGAAAAAATGTTAAATTATTCATATTGATATACTAATATAACTGTTGCGATTTGGGAATTTATTGAGGTGTTTTTATGTCTTTTTCTTGATTTTTATTTTTTTCGGACGGTTACGAATTAAAATGTTGTTATTTTTTGGCAGTCACGAACAAATGTAAAATTTTAAAATTTTATTAGTATCGTTATTCTAAGGTGACCGGTGCGACTTGGAAT